AGAAAGCGGGCATGCGCGAGAACACGTATTCTGGGTGCGAGTCTGTGCGGGGACGATGCTTGCACTCAATGCGCATGCGATTCACTTTAGAAATGTAAATCTCCATTGAATATAGGCAAATTCACCCCTAATATCACGACCTTTATCGAAGTTACAATTTAATCACGACCTTTTTGCTTTTGCAAATTAGATCACAATCTTTAGTTTGTTGCAAACAGTCTGGAAACAATCAGAGAAAAGCTGATGTGGTCGAACAACAAACTGAAGTTTGTGATACAGTTTGCACGGGATATGCAAATCGATGCTCCAATTTGCAACAAACTGAAGATTGTGATATGATTTGCAAAAAATTGAAAAAGTCGTGATTAAATTATAATTTCAAAAAGGTCATGATATTAAGAGCAGTTTTGCCTTGATTATATCATTTGTAATTTAATATTATTGAAAATTAAATAAATATATTAATAAAATAAATATTTGATGGTTTGGTATAATTTAAAATTACATTCACCTTAGAAATATTGATGTACGTTAAAAAACCTTGAAGTTTTAATAAAAATATATTTTTTCTTATATACTATCTTATAAATTAAAATAGGTATATAAAATAGTCAAGTATCATAATTTAAATTATAGCACTTCGTAATGATGAAGATATATAGTATATCTAAATATTCGAATGGATACTAATTAACTCATTATATAGGTTGAGAAAAATGAATTAAAATATACACAAACAATACAAAAATAAAAAATAAAATATTTAACCTTGAATATTTTGTGTTGCATAAGGATTAAAGTTCCTAAAAATAAAATTCAATTATAAGAAAATTTAACATTTCATGCACTTAGAACTATAATAAAGGAAGATAAATATTATGGCTTAAATGTTGGTTAATTATCGAGCAGTGTATAAATTATGAATTTTAAAAAAGTTAAAATTTTATAAGTACATGTAAGTAATGTGTATGCAAATATCGTGTTATCTTATATATTAATAATATTTTATAACCTTAAAAACAATAAAATTTATATATTAAATAGTCAAGACACATAAAAAAAATTAAAAATAGAAAAAAATAATAATAGTAAATATATATATTTCATATTATTACTGAACTTGTGTTTAATAGAATTGCATATTGTCATAACTAATTTAATAATATTTAAATAATAAAATGATCTTTGTCGTCGTTCATTGTACGAGCATCAACGCTAGAAAAACAGAAACACAGTCATGGACTTGATGCGTTTTCCGAAGATGGCAAATGACATGAATTAAAGTGAAACAAAATTATGGACTTGATCCGTTTTGCGGAGAAGACAAATAACATGAATAGAAGTGATAAGTGGCTAAGGGGTTATTTTGTTCAAGCAGATGTCTTGTTTTGGCTGGTCTATCTTCTTATAGTCTTTATTATTGTAGGTCGTGTTGCACAATGTGTGTTTAAATTACAACGGGAACCTATGAACTGACTGAAATGTTCAGTTCGTACAAGAAGAACTAAAAGAAGAAATGAAAAATACAACTCGAATGCGGACAGAT